AAGATTTCTAGGAAAGCGTGAACCCTTGCCCTGTTTAAAAATTAACCAGGAAGTGAGAACAACGTGGCTTTCATGATTTATTTTTGTTTGGTTCCATACCAAAGAACATCCCTTTGTCAAGAAGAATGCTAAAGAACAATTTGATTATGAAGCTGTTAGCCCTTATTATCTGTATTGAAGATAATACCATTTCATGCTAAAAACAGGTTATCTGACCATCTTGACAAAGGATCTACTTTGAAAGTTTAGTGAACTAGGATCCTTTGACTAATGGAAGAGTTTAATGGCATCTGAAAAACAGATTTCTTGCAACTTAAGCTTGGATTTATATTTTCATGGACCAAAAGTTCAGTTTGCCATTAATCAGATTTATACAATAACTTATCACTCTTGAAGACGGTACAAACTTCCATGTTGCTTTGCTGTGGCTGATTTTATACTGAGAACCATGGTTGGTTCTAACTATGGCTTACTGAATAAGCCTCAGTGTCTAGCTTTCCATAGCATGCTAAACCATAAACAGTAGTTTACAAATCACAATGACAGATTAATCAGCCCTTCCATCAAGTAAAGCAAATTGTTCTGGACCCTTTGTGATGTTATGCAATCACCATAAAAAAAAGTGAAAAAGATATTTTTTTCATTTTCCTGTTAGATATCAATAATTCTAGTCTCTATCTGATAACCAGTTCATATATTTGGCTTGCAAGTCATCATGAAGTCCATGAAGGATGAATTTCTGGCACTCAAATCATGATACCTGCTGTTTTTGACACTAAGGTTCATATCCTGTTTTTATGGGAGGGACATGATTCCTCCTCCCCCCTGCCCTGTCTCCACTGTATCCTCTCAACCACTCTGTGAAGTAGATTGGGCCTAAGAAATAGTGACTGTGTTTTGCATAATATGTTAATCCAAAATAAACAAAACATGGCTCAAGGCATAGTTTATTTGGTTTATGAACCATGGTTTATACTTTAGCATGTTGTTCAAGCATTGACATAAATTGATTTCAAATCACCCATTGGGCTTCATGGTTGAATAAGGATTTGAACTTGAATATTCTCTGACACTTTAATCCATATACCATGCTGGCTTCACAAAGACAAAGTATCTATTCTACACCTGTTACGCCTTCTTTAATATGACCACTTAAAAAAAAAATCACTCATGAAAATCCTAGGTAAGAGCTTGGGCAGGGAAGTGATTGAACTTTTGCATACAGTTTCAGCATCTTCAGTCAGAAGTATCTCTAGCAATGGAACTTGTGAAAATCACTGCCAGGAAAAGACCAGTAAAACTGAGTAGAGAGCAATGGCCTAACTCCAAATGGGACCTCATGCACTTATAATCAGTGGTTAAAGACATTTATGGACTACTTAATCCATGTCAAAGTAATTTTTAGCCTTTTGGGGGGACAGGTGTTGAAAAAAGAGAACCTTAATTCAAACTCAGCCCAAAGATTCCTAGCCATGGCATTGCCCATCAGGGGGCACCCCTGAGATGCTTCTGTTCCTCTTCCTGTTCCTGGTGGGGTTAGGGGTTATACTACTGTAAATGTGTAGCCTAGGATCCAGGGAAGGCAGATCAAACAGAGAAACCTTTGTCATGCAGAGCCTTCCTAGAAATGACCTGGTCTCTATGGCATGGGAATAAAGGCTCTCCTGCAACTCCTCCCCAAAATAAACCTTCTCTTCAAAAGGACTCCTTACAATACACCCTCACACACTCAATTCCACCCCCCACATACACACCCACCCCAGCCCCTTAGGGCAGGAGGTCCATGAACGTAAGTAGTGCTGGAGAAAAGCAACCAAGATGGGACAGATAGGACTGGCACCAGCAGAGCAGAATTTAATGGCTTTCTGGGAGGGTTTGCTGGCTGGGAAAGAGGAAAACTTCAAAGGCTTCTCTCGTCCAAACAGCAGATCAAGCAAGCTT